GGGGGTAGGAGGGGGCGGAGAGGGGGGGGGGGGTGCGAAATAAAGTGGCGGGCGGACGGGGCAGGCGAGGCTGGAGCCGCGCCGTGCGCTGAGGACGGCGCGGGGAGGGGGGAGCGGGGGGGGGGGTGCGGTGCCGAAATAAAGTGGTCGGGGCGGAGGGGGCACTGGGCGGGCGCGGAGCCGCGCGGTGGGCGCTGAGACGGCGCGGGGGAGGGGCGGGCGGGGGAGGGGGGGCGCGGTGCGCGAAATAAAGGGTCGGGCGGAGGGGACTGGCGGGCGCTGGAGCCGACGCGGGGGCGCTGAGACGGCGCGGGGGAGGGGCGGAGCGGGGGAGGTTGCGGGGCCGAATAAAGTGGTCGGGGCGGAGGGGGCACTGGGCGGCGCTGGAGCCGCGCGGGGGCGCTGAGACGGCGCGGGGGGGAGGGGGCGGAGCGGGGGGGGGTGCGGTGCCGAAATAAAGTGGTCGGGGCGGAGGGGGCACTGGGCGGGCGCTGGAGCCGCGGGGGGCGCTGAGACGGCGCGGGGGAGGGGGCGGAGCGGGGGGGGGGGTGCGGTGCCGAAATAAAGTGGTCGTGGCGGAGGGGGCACTGGGCGGGCGCTGGAGCCGCGCGGGGGCGCTGAGACGGCGCGGGGGAGGGGGCGGAGCGGGGGGGGGGGTGCGGTGCCGAAATAAAGTGGTCGGGGCGGAGGGGGCACTGGGCGGGCGCTGGAGCCGCGGGGGGGCGCTGAGACGGGCGCGGGGGAGGGGGCGGAGCGGGGGGGGGTGCGGTGCCGAAATAAAATTGTCGAGGCGGAGGGGGCACTGGGCGGGCGCTGGAGCCGCGGGGGGGCGCTGAGACGGCGCGGGGGAGGGGGCGGAGCGGGGGGGGGTGCGGTGCCGAAATAAAGTGGTCGGGGCGGAGGGGCACTGGGCGGGCGCTGGAGCCGCGGGAGGGCGCTGAGACGGAGGGGGCGCATGATGATGATGATGTGGATGATGATGGTGATGATGGTGTGATGGTGATGGTGAGGATGATGGTGATGATGATGATGATGATGATGATGATGATGATGATGATGATGGATGATGGATGATGATGATGATGATGATGATGATGATGATGATGATGATGATGATGATGATGATGATGATGATGATGATGATGATGATGATGATGATGATGATGATGATGAAGGGGGGGGGTGCGGTGCCGAAATAAAGTGGTCGGAGCTCTAGACACCCTGTGCAAGAGAATACCCAAAACACATACTCCGAGAATGGCCCCAACAAACAGTCAAAACGCCGTCCCCCGACGATGCTGTTGGCGATCTCTGAACACTCCTCCTGCAGAGGGACAGGCCCGACACAACCCTAGTCGGGAGCGGCCAGGAGAGGGGTGTCCAAGAGGGGGGGTGCAAACCATGACCGGCGGCATGTGCGCGGCCCAGCGGGGGGGCCAGGGACGTAATGAAACGAGAAGAGGCGCCATGAAATCTGGGGAAACAGCATGGCCCACGCCATGATATCCATCCCCCCCCCCTAGTCATCACCCCCCTCTCTTCCCGCCCCCGACCCAGCCTCGCCTTCTTCCCCCCCCTCCTCCTCCGGCGCGCCCCGCCCTCGCCCTCGGCCCCGCCACGGTGCGGCAGGACGGCGACGCGTCTCTCGGGTCGGGCGAAAGGGGGGGATAGCAAAGGGGGGGGTTGAGAATCAGCTCACGTAGCTGACTCTCCCGGCGCCTCCCGGCGCCGGGAGGCGACCATGTATCGAGGAACGTGCCCCACGGCGGGGCCGAAACCAGCTGCATGCAGCAAATTTCGTACCCCCCCCTTTCCCAATCCCCCCCTTCCGCCCGGCCCGAGTCTCGCGTCACTGGTGCGCGCGCCGCCGCTGCCCGCCGGCCTCGCCGCCGCTGCACCGCCGCCCGCGTCTTCGCGCGCGCGATCGGTGCCCCCGCGGGCGCGTCCCCGGGCCGCTGGTGCCGGGCCGAGCCGCCGCGGCCCATATGCCGAGCCTCTTTTTCTCGGGGTGGAGGGCTTCACTGAATATACTGTGGGATGACGATTAAGAAAAAAAGGAGGGGGGAACGATTAAAAAAATAGTGTCCCACACCGGGGGGGAACGCTCAGAAGCAGGGCTCACCTGTGCGGCGTTTCGTCACCGGGGGGGGCGCGCGCCGAGGACGGCGGGGGGGGGGCGATTAAAAAATAGTAAATAGTTTCCCAGCCCGGGGCCGGTTTTTTCTAATCATCATCCCGGGCGCCGCCGCGTGAACACGACCCCCGGTCATTTACCAATCGTCATCCTCCATTGAAGGCCACCCCAGCCCAACCCGACGACCCGAATTTGATCCGAATTTCGGGTTGGGGGGGGTACGGGTACCATGTGTTTTTTCAGCGCTCCCCGAGCCCCCCCCCCCCACTGGAAGTGGACGGCAGATTGAGGCCTTCGGGTTGGGTTGGGGTGGTTTGGTGGGTGGTGCTTCATGGGCCCGCAGCTCTGGCGGGTTCTCCGTGAAGGCATGGGGCCAACGGGGGATTTTAACTTCAAGAGAGAACACATCGCCAAGCATGCACGATCCAGGTTGCCGTCGTCGCCGCCGTGCCCCTCAGGGCGCCCCCGGTGAAGTCCACGGGGGCTTGTCTGCGCTTCAGGAGAGAGTCAGGCTGCTTTGCGGCTCGCCGGCTGCAGGATTCAGGCCTCGTAAGGCAGGCGAAGCCGCATTCCAAATTTTACCCTCTGGCCTTTGCTCGGACGTCCATTCCGTGTGTTTTTGTTCGGTTTTGGTGCGTGGCTTCTTCGCCAAATGATCAAGGATGCTCCTCGATGTTTCTCGCCGAGAAAAAAATGCACACGTCCGAGCGATGCCAGGTCCTGCGGCTCGCCGGCTGCAGGATTCGGGCCTCGGAGGGCAGGCGACACCGCATTCCAGATTTCACCCTTGGCCTTCCTCGGGGGTGGACAGAACCCCCAGCAGTGACACGTCGATTAGTGAATTGTCCGTTTTCGGTTCTCGAGAGGGCACCGCGGCCGTTATTTTCCAGCCTTGCGCCCGCCAGTTTGGGCCTCAGGTCGTTTTCACGAAGCCACGTTTTACTAAAGGGAGGTCTGTCCAGCCCCGACTTCCACCCCAAGCCCGACTTCCACCCCAAGAAAAAAAGCTCGGACATCGGAAAAAGCGCTGGCCGCGCTCTCTTTACTGCGCGCGTGGCAGGATGCGCGGCCAGCCAGTGGAGTCGAACAGGTGAGAAGTTGGAGATAGCGTCGGGTCGGGCATGTCCTTCTGCAGGCGGGTTTGGGACGAAGAACCAAAAATTGGGACGCACAGAGACATACTAGTACTATATGTTTTTCCTTGGAGGCGCGCGTCCGACCCGAACATGTAGTATAACCATCTTGTAGTATATCGTTTCCCGAGCGGTGTGACCAGAAAACGCCCGCCTCGGCGCATATACTACAAGATATCTCGGTGCGCGCGTCTCCACATATAGTATGAGTATGTTTGGGCGACGCCGAAAAATAGTCAAACAAAAACAAGAAATACTTAAAACATATCGTCCCCTGACTATTTTGACTGTGGAATATTCCTCCTGTAGAGTGACATGCCCGACTTGGCGATACGGCGGAGGCATTGTATAAGGAATTCTTAGATACGGAATCCAGGATCTGGGAGCCAGCGGCACTCCAATCGTGGATCGGCCATGGGTATCGCCACCGCCCTCATGAGATAAGGAGTCCTCCAGGGTCTGGAGCCTCCTGGGCACATTCCTTAGCCAACGCCCTCCACCGTAGCGGGCGCGGCCTTGCGCGAGGTGAGCGAAAAAGAGAACCGAGGGTGAAGCGAGATCTAGGAAGCGAAGCACCCGTGAGAGCGCTCCTGGCCGCGGCCGCCCGCTCCCGTGAATGGCCGTCGCTCTCGCGGGCCGCTCACTCGAGGTTGTCGTTCTGAGAGAGCGGTGCCCGCCCGCCTCCCTCCGCATCCACCATTGCGTCCACCTCCCTCTTCTCGATCGTCACCTTGTTCGCGCAGCAGGGGCAGCAGTAGTAGCAGAAGGTGTAGATCGCGCACGAGATCAGCATCACCTTCGGCAGGCTCGTCGCGTACGGCTGGGGGGGGTACAGGCACTCGTCCTTCGTCTGCACGAAACTCGAGAGCGCAGTGTTGCCGATGAGCACCAAGAAGATGAACAGCACGAACAGATCCTCCAGGAAGACGACCCAGAACGCCTTCTGCACCACCGCCTTCTTGATGTTGACCATTGGCTCATCGTTTGGGTCCTTCGACTCGACAATGTCCATCTTCTCTTCGGGGTCGTCCTTCAGACTCTCCATGATCTGCTTCCAAACCGAACGCTGCAAGTACGGCGCGAAGAACAAGAATATTACCGCAACCACGCCTTGGATGCCAGCGTAGGTGAGGCCGTCCACGACTCCGGTGAAATCGCAGGCCTCCGCCATCGTCTTATCCATGGCCTGGACGGTACTGTACAGCTGCGCGGCGGAGAAGAGGAACGCGAAGATCACGAAGGTGCTGAGGGGCCTCTCGAAGAAGTGAACCACGGCGGAGCCGCAGCTCACGCAGCACTCTTGACACGGCTTGCAATGCAGCTTGCTGCAGAGCTCCCCACACCCTTTGCAGAGAAGGCCGGGGAGGCTGCAGATGCTCTGGAAGCCCTTGAAGATGTAGATCATCTTTTCCGAGCTGCGGGGGCGCGACTCGACGCGGGGCTGGGTAGACGCGGATAGTGCGAACTGAGCGCAGCTTGAGCCGAACCTCGTCCTGTTATTGTTTCGTCTCCTTCTCCTCCTCTCTCCTCCTTTTCCTCTTTCTCGCCCCTCGCCTCCTCCACTTCCTCCTCCTCCTCCTCCTCGTTCTCACCGTCCTCCTTCTCATCTTCATCCTCCCCTTTTCAACTCTCCTCAGCATCCGGCTCCCGTCTCCTTCATCCTTCCCTACTTCACCACTTCTCTGTGTCCTGCAACAGAGTGCGCCCCCCGCAGCCCCATGTTGCCCACGGACCGCTCCGCATCGTCGCGGGGTACCAGGGTGAATAGCTGCTGCTTCAGCGCCGTGCGCAACTTCCAGCCTTGCAGCTGGCGCGCGCTGCAACACGAACACCAGACATGACACCAGAAGAAAAGAAGTGGGTGCCGGATTGTTTCGGCTCGAGAAAAAAAAACAAATACGTGTTGCCTCGAATGCTCGAGCGAGCTTGCACCGAGGCTGGCGCCCGATGCACTCCGCTCCATACTCTCCTGTACCGCTCCATACCCGCTCCGCGGAAGATCGGTCCGTGCACGGTCTTATCTCTTGTTCTGGATTCTCTGGCGACACCCTTCATTCCCCTACTCACCTCCTCCCCCTCCTCCCGCCCCCTCCTCCCACTACTGCACTCTGATGATCCTTCTCCCGTTCTTCTTCCTCCTTCTCCTCCTTCTTCTCCTCCCTCCTCCCGCACAAGCAAACACATCCACCCCCCTCCTTGCCAACAGGCCCTTGGGCTTCTGGTGTGGTCTTTGGAGCTCTTGAAACGGACCACTCCCCTCGACGCGACCCCGTGCCGGAGGTCCCTGTCCCCCCTGCGAAACCCCATTTCGGCCCCAAGACCGCCCCTTGACGCCTGCAGCATGCCCCCAAGCCGAGCCCAAGAAGGCCCAGCGATCCCGCAGCGTCGCCCCCCACTTGAGCCCGAAGATGCTCCCGAGGGGCCCCGAGAGACCCCAAGAGGCTCCCAGGAGGCGCGCAGGGAGACCTCCAGGCGAGGCCGCCCGAGGCCAAAAGACAACGAAGCGCCTGCGAGAACTCCGGGGAGGCCCGTAGGAGAGCCCCAGAGCGCACACGGGACGGCCCCCAGACGGCCCGAGAACCCCCCAGACGGCCTAGAGCCGACCCAAGAGGGCCCCAAGACGGCGCCAGGACGCGCCCAGACGGCCTCACGGTGGCTCAGCCGAGCCTCCTCGGGAGCGCGCGGCACGGCCCCGAGACCCCCAACAGGTCTCCACTGAGGCCTCCCAGATGGGGTCTGAGAAGATGGGGTCGGAGGATCGCGCCGCATCGTCAACGCATCACCGATGCTCCGGCGATGCATCGGCGACGTCGGCCTGGAGAAGATCGCGCTCCCTGTCGAGCCGCATGGCCGAGGCATCGGCGATGCGGCGCCACCCTCCGATCCCACACGCTTCGACCCCTCTATCTGGGAGGCCTCGCTTCCGAGAGGCCCTCCCCCGAGTGCTCCCGGGCCCCGGCCGCCCGGCGAGCCGGCACGGGTGCCCCCCATATGCGCGACGCCTGCAGCGGCACGGCACCGAGCACTCCTCCCTCGCGCGCCTTCCACGCCGCAACGTGCACTGGGGCAAATTCGTCGACGCGGCCCCTGTCTGACGGCGCTGCAACGAGGAGGGGGAGGAGGGGGGGGGAGGCGGAGGAGGAGGAGGAGGAGGAGAATGAGGAGAAGGAGGAGGAGGAGGAGGAGGAGGAGGAGGAGGAGGAGGGAGGAGAGGGAGGAGGAGGAGGAGGAGGAGTAGGACGAGAATGAGATGAGGATGATGAGGGAGGAGGATGAGGAGGAGGAGAGGTAGGAGGAGGAGGAGGAGGAGAAGAAGAGAGGAGGGGGAGGAGGAGGAGAGGAGGAGGAGGAGGAGGAGGAGGAGGAGGAGGAGGAGGAAGGAGGACGGAGGGGAGAGGAAGGGACGAGGAGGAGGAAGGCAGGAGGAGGAGCAGGAGTAGGAGTAGGAGGAGGAGGAGAATGAGGAGAAGGGGGGGGAGGGGAAGGAGGAGGAGGAGGAGATTGGAGGAGGCGCGAGGAGGAGGAGGGGGAGGGGGGAGGAGGAGGAGGAGGAGGAGGAGGAGCGAGAGGAGGAGGAGGCGGGAGGACGAGAATGAGGATGAGGAGGAGGAGGAGGAGGAGGAGGAGGAGGAGGATAAGGAAGAGGAGGAGGAAGAGCGGGATGAGGACGAGGAGGAGGAGGAGAAAGAGGAGGAGGAGGAGAAGGAGGAGGAGGAGGAGAAGGAGTTGAGGGAGGAGGGCGAGGAGGAGGAGGAGGGGAGGGAGAGAAGGAAGATGATGATGATGATGATGATGATGATGATGATGATGATGATGATGATGATGATGATGATGATGATGATGATGATGATGATGATGATGATGATGATGATGATGATGATGATGATGATGATGATGCTGATGATGATGATGATGATGATGATGCTGATGATGATGATGATGATGATGCTGCTGCTGATGATGATTATGATAATGATGATGATGCAATTTATGATAATGATGATGATGATGATGAGTATGATGATGAGTATGATGGTGATGATGCTGCTGATGCTGCTGATGATGATGATGATGATAATGATGCTGCTGCTGATGATGATGATGATGATGCTGTGATGATGATGCTGATGATGAGGAGGAGGATGAGGAATAGGAAGAGGAGGAGGAGGAGGAGGAGGAGGAGGAGGAGGAGGAGGAGGAGGAGGAGGAGGAGGAGGAGAGGAAGGCCCCCAGGGGGTGACCTCGGTGCGGGGCGGCGCATCGGGGCCCCTGGGGGAACTGCAATCCGCCATGTCGTCGCTTGCGGCGCCGTGGCCCTGGGGCGTTGGTGCCCTGGCGGGCCTGCATGGGGCGGCCCCCCGACTCCGCCGGGCGGTCCCCGTTGGGAGTCGGTCTGCCGTCTCAGGTCCCTCGGGGACCCGACGTTCTAGGGCCGCGTGGGTAACCCCCCAGGGCTGGCGCGGGCTGGTTCTCCAGTCCGCGTCGGCCCGCGTGGTACCAGACTGCGCGGGGGCTGGCTCTGGTCACTGTTGGGGCCCGCCCCTGACGTCGGGGTGTCGGGTGTGACCAGGGGGGTCGGCTCCTTCGGGAGCACGGCTCAAGACGTGTACCGCCTGGCCCCCCTTGGGCAAGGGGGCCTGTGGGGGCGGGCCTGGCTACCCATGTGCGGAAACACGCGCCGTGTGCCCCGCACGGTGACGTGGGGTAGCCTGTGTCCCCTAGTGCAGGAAGAGCCAGGGAGGCATAGGGGCTGGCCACCCTTGGTGGTCAGTGCTGCTCAGCAAGTAGGCGGGCAGCACGGGTGAGGCCGGCGCCTCCTCTCTTCCCCCCTCCTCCTCCTCGTCGCTCTCTTTCTTGCCTCGGGCCCCGTCGGCGGTGCGGCTCCTAGCTCCAGGGGGTCGCGGGGGGGAGGCGTTTGGCCCCCCCTTCTTTCGAGGCGGTCTGGACTGAACCATTCCGCATGGCTGCGTCGAGGACGAGGACGAGGAGGAGGAGGAGGAGGAGGAGGAGGAGGAGGAGGAGGAGGAGGAGGAGAGGAGGAGGAGGAGGAGGAGAGGAGGAGGAGAGAGGAGGAGGAGGAGGAGAGGAGGGGGAGGAGGGAGGAGGAGGAGGAAGAGGAACGAGGGAGGAAAAGGAGGAGGAGGCGGAGGAGGAGGAGGAAGAGGAGGAGGAGGGGAGGAGGGGGGAGGAGGAGAGGAAGAGGAGGAGGAGGAGGAGGAGGAGGAGGAGGAGGAGGGGAGGAGGAGGAGGGAGGAGGAGGAGGGAGGAGGAGGGAGAAGGAGGAGGACGAGGGGAGGAGGGGGAGGGGGGGAGGAAGCTAGGTGCGCTCGCGTCATATCTGACATCCTACCCCTCCCTCCCATCCCTTACCATGGCGCAGATCCCCTCTCTACTTGCACAGTCGGATGTCAAGCAGGGCGATGATCCCGAAAGGGTACGCGATGCATTGTAGAGCACGGCGTGGCATGGTGTAGAAGAGCACCGCGAAGCGTAATATCAACCTAGCATTGCATTGCATGCCGTGGCATGGCACGGGAAATGACGCCAGCGCTGCAGCGGGAGCACGAGTCGAAACGAGCGGAAGCGCGGAAATGAGGCCAGCGCTGCAGCGGGAGCACGATTCGGAACGAGCGGAAGCACGCCGGAATCGGCCCGGGAAGCACGGAAATGAGGCCAGCGCTGCAGCGAGAGCACGATTCGGAACGAGCGCGGCCCGAAAATGAGGCCAGCGCCTCAGCGAGAGGAAAAAATGCAAGCGAAAGCCTAACTCCGGGGAAGGCTTCCTTCCCCGGCGCTGGAAGCAGAAATTCTGCATTTTCAAAAGAAGAATTTGTATTAGAATGGCCTTTTTTCGGCGCCGCCTCGGAACTCGATTTTCCGGCGCCGGCCGGAACCGGCTCCCGACCGGGCGCCGGCCCAGGCGCCGGCTCGGGCGTCTGGCCCGGGCGCCGGCTCGGGCGCCGGCCTGGGCGTCGGAATCGGCCCGGGAGGCCTCCCGGGCGCCAGAAGAAGAAATTCAGCATTTTCAAAAGAAAAATGTGGATTAGAATGGCCTTTTTCGGCGCCGCCTCGAAACTCGATTAGCCGGCGCCGGCCGGAACCGGCTCCGGACCCGGCCCGGGCGCCGGCCCGGGCGCCGGCTCGGGCGTGCAGCCCGGGCGCCGGCGGAAATGATGCCAGCGCTGCAGCGGGAGCACGATTCGGAACGAGCGGGGCCCGAAAATGAGGCCGGCGCCTCAGCGAGAGCAGCATTTTCGAAAAAAATGCAAGCGAAAACCCAACTCCGGGGAAACCTGCGTGTAAAAAAACAGTACGCGGGGGGGGGGGCGACTATTCCCAAGACGTCATCAGGGGAAGAGGGAGAGTAGTATTCATATTGAGTAATTGTAGAATGAGGAGGAGGAGGAAGAGGAGGACGCGGAAGAGGAGGAGGAGGAGGAGGAGGAGAAGGAGGAGGAGGAGAGGTGGAAAAGGAGAGGGAGGAGGAGGAGGAGGAGGAGGAGGAGGAGGAGGACCAGTGTAAAACCAAGAACCATCAACGATGTTGGAATTAACCCTCCCTCCAAACTCCCTCTTCATAGGCCCCCACAACAGCTCATTTCCATTGAAGGCTGCCTCGTTGGAAAACAACCGTTTGAAGATCCCGAACCATGCCAAAACATTGCTCTCTGGATTTCAACGCCACGCATCAACCCGACAGATGCGTCTTGTCGCTCCAGAATCGCGCCAGAGCGCCATGTTTGGGACTTCGACACCGCGAAGCAACTGTTGCACCTTCATAACCCTGAACCCGTCCAAACAA